GGGGGAGGGGGGGGCGGTGGGGAGGAATGTAAGAGGATATTGAACATGTCTGGAGAGCAAGTGTACGTCAAACGTTCAATCGAGGTCTCGGGGTTCACAAATAGTCACTGTGCAGCAGCATCTTAAGACATGAAATGACCTTATCCCATTGTGGGACCTCAGTTACGGAGATGCTTTTATCATTCGTGAAACTTGAGTCTCGCAGTGCAATGAGCTACCAGCTTTTACAATCATATTTCACTGCATGAGTGAGAGAGCGAATTCAGTCAAGGCACCAGCTGTACCGTGCGGGTCAAGCAAGGTGTACTCATCAGCTCGAGATTGAAAGGAAAGGGTCCACTGGACGTCCATGCCATCTACCTCATAGCCATATGGTGTGCATTGTTGGATGCCTGAGACATTCATTTCCCGGTCAAGTTCAAGCCGAAGCAGCAAAGAAAGCCAAAGACACACACACACACACACACACACACACACACACACACACACACACACACACACACACACAATTGTGTTGGAACCGAAAAGAGAGAGAGAGAGAGAGAGAGAGAGAGAGAGAGAGAGAGAGAGAGAGAGAGAGAGAGAGAGAGAGAGAACCGAAAACAGAGAGCGAGGTGCATTCGAGGCACACAATTGGTATAACCAGAGAGACACTGAGTGACATGACATTGTGTTGGAAAGATTGCAACAAGCTCTGCCGAGCCACCTTGCCCGGCCATGGAGAGAGAAATCTGGATCAAAAGCCTTCACTTTTTATCTTTTATTAATCATTTACAATAAAATGAGCCAGTACATACAGGCCTTGCCTGCCCTGCCAAAGCCAGGGAGCGAAGCCCAGGCCGAGGCAAGCCGAGGCTAGGCAGAAGAAAATTTTCGGATCAGCACCAGGACGAGGTCTCTAAGAGCCGGGGACGAAGTTCTGAGCATAGGCCCAGGCGTTGTTGGCCACAGGGTCGGCCAGATGGTCGTTGAGGTTCTCAAGAGGGCCCTTGCCGGTGACGATGGCCTGGACGAAGAAGCCGAACATGGAGAACATRGCCAGRCGRCCGTTCTTGAGCTCCTTAACCTTGAGCTCAGCGAGGGTGTCGGGGTCGTCAGCAAGGCCCAGGGGGTCGAAGCTTCCACCGGGGTAGAGGGGGTCAACCACCTCACCAAGAGGGCCACCATTCACTCTGTAGCCCTCGACGGCGCCCATGAGCACCACCTGGCAGGCCCAGATGGCCAAGATGCTCTGAGCATGGATCAGGCTGGGGTTGCCCAGGTAGTCGAGGCCACCRTCAGCGAAGATCTGGGCTCCGGCCTTGAACCACACAGCCTCGCCGAACTTGACTCCGCTCTGGGACAGCAACTCGGGGGTGAGGCAGCCAAGGGCRCCGAGCATGGCCCACCTGGCGTGGATCACCTCCAACTCCCTGTTGCGYGCGAAGGTCTCGGGGTCTGCRGACAGACCAGCGGTGTCCCAGCCATAGTCACCGGGGAACTCTCCCCTCAAGTAAGAAGGGGTCTCGCCGGAGAGAGGGCCAAGGTACTTGGGGCGGTCGGCACCGTACCTGTTCACACGCACAGCAAAGCCACCAAGCCCACACGTCAACAACCCAAAGAAGCTAAGCCAGCCCAAAGCCCCACAATGCCAACCCCAACATTCCACCCACCCCTCGCCATCCGTCACCTTCCATCAGAAAATCCCAGCAGTACGCAAGTAGCCCGACCCAACCCGAACCCGACGGGAAAAAATGGCCTCCACCCGCACCCGCACCCAAACCCAACCCCAACCCCAACCCCAACCCCAACCCCAAAACCAGAACTGTACTATCCGTTACGGGCCAAGAGACAGCAAACGGGAACATGCATGGAAAAAGAGGATACGACACAAAATATATCCCTTTTTTTTTTCTTTTTTTTTTTTTAATTTATTTTATCCCATCAATTGACCATCAACCTTCTAAGTTAAAGGTCAGAGGTTCAAATCCCGCCGGGAGTACGTAAGTCTTCATGCAATTTGAAAGTCAGTAAACGTATCACACTTCTCTTTTTTTTTTTTCTTTTTTTTTTTTCACTTTTTTCTTTCTTTTTTCCACACTTCCCTTTCATGCCTGTGTCTGTCTTGTATATGCTTTCATGCTTTGCGGGCCCGATTTTCAGCAGGTGCAGTTTCTCGCCAATAGACTGGGGCTCAATCAGCAGCACTACCTAGGGCAACTTGGGGAGGATGCCCATATCACCTCCACTACAGTAGTAGGCTAAAGCCGGTTACTTGCCCAAGGGGGGGGGAAAAAACGAGTGCCTCGTTGTCGAAAGGAAACCCCCTCGTTGCTGAGCATTCCCCAGCATGCCCTCTCGCCCAGGGATCACTTTTTGTTTTCCGTCACGCTCCCCTACGTTTTGAAAATAGAACGCATGCTCGTTCCTAATGATCATTCGTTTAATTACTTAATTAAATTAACCAACCTGCCCAGCAGCCATTAACCAACCTGCCCAGCAGCCATTAACCAACCTGCCCAGCAGCCATGCATGGCTAAGGTGTCGAACCAACGCATGCTGTCTCTAAAAGCCTGCGAACGTAAGCCAGTCTTCGAAATGCCATGGGTGTGCTGCTCTGAAAAAGGAAACGAAACGTGCGAATGATCATTCGTCCTCTCCGTCATAGGGCGTCGCTCCACTACTCTTCACATGCACAAAAGACAAAAAAATGTTTTTTGCGTCGTATGAATCGCATCTTTCCATGTTCTAGAGGGAGATTCATTCTCAATTTGCACATTCGGTGAGTAACGGTACGAGGCCCATATTCAATTCCTTTCATACCCTCTAGAAGATTACGTCAGTCCAAACTTCGCCTCATATATCGGATTCCTCGAAAGGCAGGACACTCAAGGAGGAGGAAGGGGGGGACGCCCACGCAGCTGAAAGGACGCGATAACCTGATATAGTTGGCGTTCAGGAGTTATCAGCCGAACACAAACCCAAAGTTTTTTCTTTTTTTTGTTTTGGGTTGGAGGGAGGAGGGTGTGGGGGGCGGCGAAAAACCAGACTTCTGGCCCAACCTACGGCAAATGTGCGAGGGGGAAAAGCAAAGCCAACCCGAACCTACCCAGTACCTTCCCTATCCCCATCCCGCGCCGCGGCCCACTCTGTCTAAACGTTTCCCGATGTTCACTGCAGCCGGAACCCAAGCTAGCGTCTTCCCTCGAACACAAGCCACCCTCATTATGGATGCATCTGACCGGTAAGACCATCTACTAAACATACATCAGGAGGGTAGGTTGCTGTGTTCGGGGGAAGACCTTATTCTTCCCTTTTCGCCCTTCCCCCCAAAACCAGCCATGTGTGCATATTAGCAGATGTAGATGAGCCGCGTAGTTACATCAGCTGGATGCATCTGACCGGTAAGACCATCTAACTGGTTGTACGTGATGAACAGACATTGGATGTAGATGAGCCGCGTAGTTACATCAGCTTTTAAGCAGACGTTGTTGTAGATGAACAGTTGTTACATCAGCTTTTGCGCAAGATGAACAGACGGCTCATCGTCGTGATTAGCGGATGAGACTCATGAGAGACGTAATGAATCTACTGGTAAGGTGACAGACAGACAGACAGACAGACAGACAGACAGACAGACAGACAGACAGACAGACAGTAACCTTGATCATCAGACCGAGCTATAGATAGGCAGCGACCAGATGCAGACCGACCTATAAATAGGCAGCGAGCAGCTACAGACCGACTTATAGGCCGGCAGCGAGCAGATACAGACCGACCTGTAAATAGGCAGCGAGGAGATACACACCGACCTATAGATAGGCAGCGAGCAGATACAGACCGACCTATAGAAAAGCAGCGAAGAGATACGGACAGACAGACAGACAGACAGACAGATGGACAGATGGACAGATTGCACGTGGAGTCTCGTACATGCAGTGCTCAACGATTCGAAGCGTAAATTGAAGTGAGTGCCCCGTGCAAACCACTCTAAGCGTGTCGCTGTTCGCCCCAAGCTACGTAGTCGTTCATCGGAGTTGCAAATTGAATATGCATCATCATCTCGAAGCCTCGAACTCATGACCTGTTTATTAGTATCAGTTACAATGTTACATGTGCGTTCCATTCAGCCTAAGGCTTATGAATGTTTCTAAACAGTGGCAAATCCAAGCGCTCCACAGCGGTAGCTAGTAGTAGCATCAAGCCCATACAGGAGCTCGAAACGGGCCCTCTTTTTGCGGAAGACACGCATGCACATTCGTGCAGTGCAGCTCGATCACGGACTGACAGACGAGTGTCGTCGTCGTCCAGAGCTAGACAGAGAGAAGCCGAGAAAAATGTAATTAGGAGAGAGGGACACGGGGAATAAGAATGAGAGAGAGGAACAAAGCGAGAGAGAAGGTGGTCGCAGAAGGGAGAGAGCGTGCGGAATATCAGACGGGGGAGAGTAGACAGCGACCAAATGGAGAAACGGGGTAGTTCGGCTACGCATAGCGAAGATACTTAATTGGTCTATGAGCAGCAAAGGTTCTCGACAGCATTGCTACCGTCTTCCCCCCCCCCCGAACATAACGCATATGTGTCAAAATCGGTCATCTGAATAGAACGCGTGTGCGGGCTGTTTGAATAGAACTGACATGCGTTGTATTCGAATAGAAAGCAGCCTACGCGTTTTGTGTTCGTTTTACAACGCACATTCGTTATGTTCGGGGGGAGACCGTAGGCAAGAACCATCAGCCAGCTGTTGAGCGTAAAAGATAAAAAGCTGAGCGCAACTTCCTTCTTTTTTATTTTTTTTTGGAGAAAAGACGCGGCTTTCTCGCTACCTGCCGATAATTATGCACACAATCAGCTATGGTACGGTTCTTTGTCCAAATAAAACGTACCCGGCGAAAAAGCTCAGCGCAAATGACAGGAAGAAGATCACAAACTGAGCGTACGAGCGAGGACAACACGCGACCAATATGACGCAACAACCTTAGAATGCGACCGAGAAGAATATCAGAGGCCGCTATACATACACACACACACACACACACACACACACAAAAAAAAAAAAAAAAAAAAAAAAAAAAAAAAAAAAAAAAAAAAAAAAAAAAAGGAGGAGGAAGAGGAGGAGGAAGACGCACCAGATGCTGTCCACAGACTTGGAGGCGCTCTTTCTCATGACAACGCGAGCCTCGACATTGCCAACCTTCTCGCTCAGGGCGCTCTTCTCCTTGAGGGCGGTCTGGCCGGCGAACGTGCTCGGCGCCGAAACAGCGGCAACGGCAGCGGTGGCGGCCATGGCTACGACTGTTGGGAGAGAGAGAGGGAGAGAGAGAGAGGTCTACGGCAACCTGTCGGCGAAGTGAATGGTCTTCACTTGCCTGGTGATCCGATTACGAAGGCTGACCACTGCGAATCCGACTCTCTGTTCATATTTGTAGGTCTACTTCTTGCCCATTCGACAACCAACCCAACCACCTCTCCCCCTCCCTTGGGCCCCCTCGGGCCCCCACTAAACCCCCAAATTCTACAGTGTGCCGATTCTACCGCGACCCCAACCCCCTCCCCCTCTCTACTCCCCCGGCCCCGGTTTCTAAACTCTATCTTTCTATTATCCCTTTCCGTCGATCTGTCGATCCCTCTATCTCGCTCTCTGACGCGGGTTGGCCCGCGGTACTCTCTGCCCTTCCAACGCCATCCTCTTCCAGACGCACCGACACCTCCCACGTCATCGCCGGTGAAAAAAACGTCTTTGACGCGAAAGATATCGACATACCATTTGTTTTCTTGATTCCGCAATATAATTCCACCCTACCTAAGATGATGCCACCGCAAGGCCGAGGAAACTTTTCTGGGGAAAGTTTCCCTTTTCTTTGCCCTTCTACGAACTGACGGGCAGGTGAATCCAAAGCTACCTTACTTATCTGTCTGAGTCTGCCTGGGATTCGAACTGAGGGCATACGCACACTAGGACTTTTTAAAGAAGGTTCTAGGGGCAATTGCCGTGGGATACATTCAGGTCCGGCCCTAACTACGGTCAGATACATTCAGGAGAGTGCTAGTGTACCAACTTCTTTTGGAAGGAAATTTGAGTGGCTCCCCCCAAGTTGAATTCATTTAAATTGCACCCCTCTGACGGCCTACTTACCCTGTTGTGCCCCTGAGGCCACTAAACTTTTCTGCAGACCCCTGTCCGCTTCGGGCTTACCCTGTTGTGCCCCTGAGGCCACTAAACTTTTCTGCAGGCCCCTGTCCTCTTCGGGCATCCCTCCCTTTCTGGACCACGGGTCCCATTGCACCTATCTCTCCCTTATCCAGTAGCGGCATGGTAGAAATTTGGAACAGCCACCCATAGGGGCATAAAGAACATATTTCAGTCCAAACCGACACCACAGAGGGGGGGCACGACAGGGTACTTAGGTCGTCAGAGGGGAGCGCGGTGCAAAAAAATTTGACTTTCAGGGGTGTGATTTGGGGCTTGGCTGATTTGCCAAGCAGGCTATGTATCACCAGTGGCCGGTCCAACGGCCGCGGCGGCCACGTTTGTGGCCGTGGCCGCAGATGGCGGCCCCAATTCTGCGGCCATGATTTTTACGGAATTTTCCTGGGTGAAATAAAATGTAAAAATAAATATAAAAAAATGGGGTTGTAGTTTTTTTTTATTATTATTATTTTTTAACAAAACAACCGGGAACCGGGCCCGGCGTCCCTTATATTTCAGTGCCAAGAATCGGGCCTGCAGGCCCCTGTTGGTAGGAGGCAGAACTTTCGGGCATCCCTTTCGGGACCACCGGTCCCATTGCACCTATCCCTCCCTTATGCAGTAGGGGCATAGTAGAGATTTGGAACCGCCACTGGTAGGGGCATAACGAACATATTTCAGTCCAAACCGACACCACAGGAAATCGACTTGTACCAGGAAATCAAGAGTGTTACTAGGAAGAGTTCGAGAAAACACCTGAAGGCTTAATCGACAAGATCGCGAAGAGAAGATTCGGTGTTTATCTCAGAAGAAGAGTGGTGATGGGTTGAAGTACGATGATCGGATCTCAAGGGCGGAGATTAGGAACTTAACAGAAGTGAAGATCGGGGAACAAAGCCTGTTACCTGCTAAAACTAAGCTACGATGTCTGAAGCTTTGACTGCTCTGGAGGGAAAAACAGATGGTAGGATGCCTTCTACATAACCATAGGTGATTCAGTCGCTTATTGGCAACGGTCAGTGACGAACTATTTTTTGTAATTGCGCGACTTTCTGCGCGAAGCGGCTTTGGGGGTTGAGGACTGGTTGGTCGGGTGGAGTGCATGGGTATGGGTCGGCTGGGCAAGTTGCATGGATACCCTTGCTTCTTTCTTTTTGGCTTTTGGGACCGGGGCCGAGAAAGTCATGCGCAGACGATTGGGTGACCGCGCCTTAGCGAGCGTGATAAATATCGGTTGTCATAGCTTGTTTCTTGTTGTGCTGTGGGAGATGGGAATTTGGGCCCGATCAGCGTGTGCAAATGTCGTTTTTCAAATTTACAACTGATGTCGAGCCCCCACGGGCTCTCGGAATTGTTTTTCTGTCTTTTCGGAATTTGATTTTGCAAATAGGATTTAGAATAGGAATTTAGGTACCCTAAAATCTTGTTGCGCCGCGCTTCTTGCTTGTGCACCTCTCACCGCAGTGGGGACTGGGCTTTGACTGTATCGCGCCCTTAATCCTGCGTGTAACTGCAATTTTTGGCAGGCGCGATTGTAACTGTACTCCTTCTAGATTCTCTCGTGTTTCCCCGCCTTGTCCCTTTTTGTCGTGCATACCTCATCCTCCATTCTAATTGGCTTGAGGGACTGCATGACCGGATCGATGCGTGGAGTGTGGCTGCGTCCCCCACGCCGCGGCTTGGCCATGCAGACGTAGGCACTTCCTTCTCTTTCCCTTCCTCTCACTTAGGCATAATCCCGAGTTTCTCGTGCAAGCATGCATGCTATAAAGTTCACAAGCACGATTAGTTTGCTCTTTATGAAATTTTGGAGTTAGCGCGGTCAGTGAGGATCGGCTAATGAGTCATCTTAGGAGGTGAGTAGACGATAGAGTTGGGCGATCCGACGAGTTGGTGTTGAGTATCCAGGGTCGATGGACTGTGGCGCACGGGCGAACCTGGCTCTCATAGTCGGACCAAGCGGGGTGACAACTCTGTGTTGATGGGAGGCGGCGGACTGCCCGCATCGGGAGTGGTGTGAAGAGAGAGAGAGAGAGAGAGAGAGAGAGAGAGAGAGAGAGAGAGAGAGAGAGAGAGAGAGAGAGTGAGAGTGAGAGAGAGAGTGTGAGAGAGAGAGAGAGAGAGAGAGAGAGAGAGAGAGAGAGAGAGAGAGAGAGAGAGAGAGAGAGAGAGAGAGAGAGAGAGAGAGAGAGAGAGAGAGAGAGAGAGAGAGAGCAGATGCGCGTGGGATGATGTCTTTTCTTGCAACCTTCTGTATAATTTTTTATTCCAACATTTGCCAATTTTGTTGCGGCAATTTCGGATGTCCCAGTGATTCGCCGTGGATTTTCTGTTTCTTGTGTGTTGTCGAATGAACTTGCGTCATTCCCCCACCCCTTCTCAAGTGGTCCCTTGAGTGTCCCATTTTCTTTGTTTTGCTGAGTGGTGATAATCCAAATTTCGTCACTTTTTAGTGTCCATCTGCGCTGCGCGATAACTCCGGATCTGGTTGGATATGGTCATCGTGCATGTTTTGTTCGATTGCCAGCCTTTGATTCTGGTGTATGTTGTGATGTGTTGGTTCTCGACACCAGAGCGGTTGCTCCTTTTCTTTTTCTTCCGTTACCCAATAGCATGGATATGCGTGTAATGGTTGGATCTCACCCGGAATGACGATGTTTGCAAAGAAGGGTAGTTGCATGCATGTGGGATAGGATCGAAACGCCAACAAGACCGCTCACCACGGACCCGCCGACTCGAAAGGACAAGATCCGATCCATTCCCGCTTATGCGCGCGCTCATGTATGACAACGATCCAAAAAGCAGAGTCACAATATACGCGTGCGACTGCATGAGTCGACTGTGGCCTTGCTTCGATGCGTGTCCGCCAAACAGGAGATGGCTATAGAAGCGCCCTTCTGGCTCACCGATCGTGAAAGCTTAAGGGATCCGGAATATCGTGAATACTGGGAGAGGGAACAACTTAGACGACGGGGGAACCTGAGAAATCTTGAATATCCCTATCAAACTGAAAACGGTCGACTGTGCGAGGGGGATATTCATTGGGCTATAGGCAGGGATCATAGGATCCCGGATTATCCAAACACCAGTAATACCCAATATTATATATCTCTGGGTTTCGTCGCTATCAATACCGATTTCCCTCCTTTCTATCTTTTCCTTCCGTATCATCAGCTTACAGTAGTATCGTGGACTTCCATAGCTCGCTATTGGCCTCGCACGTCGTGTGCAGAGTGCCAGCGAGACCGCGCGTATCAAGCATCGGGATTTATCCGACGAACCCGAACCAAAGTCGAGCAGCGCACGCACAGCGTTCGTCGGAGGCCAGCCTCGTCGGATTCTGAGGCCTGCTACGAGCGACGCCAACAACTGTTCAGGCAGCACGACACGCATAGCGTTCCGTCGGTCCACCAAATTCGCGTCCGCCCTGGCGACGGAGACATCGAAGATGGTAACTCCTCTTCACGATGTAAAGGCCGGACTCGCCTTGTGCCTACCATCTTGCACAACTGCCCCTAAAACTCGCCACAGGAGATCTCAGTTCCAACCTGGGACTCCACCCCCACTTTCCTAAAATCCTTGGCACACCCCCTTTTCGCACTTCTGCCCCCCCATCTCACTCCGATCAGGAAGTCGCGCTGGGCGTGAGGTTGGGCGTCACAGTCTGCTGTTGTGCTGACGGCTTGATATCTAAACAGGGAGAACACGTAGACTTGCACTTGAGTAGCAGGGAGGAGGTGGATCCCAGAATCTGGAATGTGAAAAACGTGATCAAAGGGATTGATAGTGGCAAGGAGGATGCGAGACTGTGTAGGGAAGTGAATGATGAAATGATGAAGGGGGGATTGGAACCAACCTGGACACTGCAACAAGCAAAAGATTGTATACGAAAAAGAAGAGGAAACAAAAACGGCTTGATTGATGAAATTTTAAAAGGTGAAGCGGAAGTGGAAAGGGTTAGTGTTCTCCCCGTTGGATAAGAACCCTGCGGAGACGCTGGTAATTTGCCCAGCTCTATATGAAGACGGCATGCGAGAATTGTTATGAGAAAACACGGCTTTCGATCATGTTTGGAGGAGGGAAGAAGAAGTGATGGTCAGGGCAAAGAGTGAATATGAGAAAAAAAGGTTGAAGATGATAGAGAAATGAAACAACAAAGGCAGGTGGATAAGAACCCTGCGGAGACGCTGATAATTTGTCTAACTCTATATGAAAACGACATGCGTGAGTTGTTCAGGGAAAACACGACTTTCGATCCTGTTTGGAGGAGGGAAGAAGAAGTGATGGTCTGGGCAAAGAGTGAATAT